AGTTGCTCAGGGAGGCTTCAAGATAGAGGGTGGGCTACACAGAAGGCGGAGAGGCAGAGCAGACTCTCCAGTGTCTGCTTTTCTGTCCCTAGCTTTGAAAGTCTCAAGGGACACTCCCACTGCTTCCTATGGGTTAGCAATGAGTCATTAGGCTGCCCTATATTCAAGAGCAATTACATCTGCCTTTTATTAAAAGGACTATCAAAGAATTCCCAAGCATGCTTGAGGCCTGCAGAGTGAGGTAAGCCCTGTGCACACATTCAAATCACCCAAGGAGCTTTCTGTAGGTCCTGGTGCTTGGACAGACCCCAACAAAAGAATTCCTCCGTGTGACCACCAGGTATCAACTTCTTCACAGCGTGCACCCAAGTCGAAAAATCCTTGGTTTCAATAAGAAGGCAGTTCCCTTTTAGCATGCAAAATAAAACCTAGCTTAAACTCTCCTCTTCTCAAACCAATCCAAAGCCCTGCTTCTCAACATCAAGCCAATCCAATAGCTTCAGTTCATCAGAAATATTTTGAAATGTCTTCTTTATGCTCTGGATTCAAATGTGCAGGTACTGTAAATTCCTTATACATACAATTTCCAAAACCACGTACTAGCCTAATAAGCTTAAATAAAAAAATATATAGTTTATAATAAAATAATATGCATACCATGAGATAAATGCTCAGAGAAAAGATGCTTCTACTATATGTGGAGTTACCATGGAGACAGGGCTACAAATGTGTTGTGATGGAGAAATAAATGTCAGAAGCAGCCTGAGCATCATTGCTATGACTTTCCAAAAACAAAGCTATATCGGTTCCCTGGGGTATTCATAACAAAATGCCAAGGCTGGCTTAAACCACAAAAGAAAAAAATTCTCACAGTTCTGGAGGCTGGAAGTCCCCAGATCAAGACATTGATAGGTGCAGTTTCTTCTGAGGCCTTTCTCATTGGCTTGTGAATGGCTACCATGCCATCTGTCCTAATAGTCATAGTCATCTCTCTCTCTCTCTCTCTCTCTCTCTCTCATGGATACCCTGATGTTTCTCTGAACAAGTTCTAATCCCTTCTTCTTACAAGGACACCCTTCATATATGGTTAGGGACCCCTCTAATGAGACCATCTGAACTCAATCATCTCCTAAAGCATTCTCTCTAACTCTAACCACCATAGGTCTTAGGACTTACAGCATCCCACTGGGCCTCTGGAACAGGGCACCATGAGAGAGAATGTCTTTGTGCAGGACCATTGGGTATTGAGAAAGTCAAGCACCACCACCTCTGCCTCACTAAATGACAAGAACATCACTTCAGTTGCAACGATATTTGAATTATTCTCTGGAGAACAGAGAATAAGGTTTGATTTAAAGGAATCCAGTATTCTAACATAAATTAAGTGTTTAACTTATCAGGGAAAAATCACTATCACTTACCTTAATTGTTGAGGAGCAGTAACTTTTGATACTAGATTTTCTAGAATTGTGGACAAATTGCTGCTGTGTTTGGTACTTAAATGACCACAAGGCTAGTTGATATACTGCTAATTACCTAAGTAAAAACAGGCCTCCAAACAAAAGCTGCCTTGTCTTTTATGCTTTCCCAACTTGCCCAACTTAATGATTCCATCCATTGATCTGGTACATAATTTTAAACTGATCACATCCAATAAGTCATTAGAATTATCCCCTCCCTGTTTAAGATTTGAAAAAGGCCAAAAGAAATCACCATTGATCAAATCAACTAAAAAATGTCTTAGTGGTAAATGGGACATTGAATTTGATGAGGTCTGCATATTAACCATTGAAAAGTATAAAGGATGAAAAGAGAAAGGATATTGTTGTTTATCTAGCCATGTCATTGTGCTCAGTCACAGAACCAGTGGGGGCAACCAACCCTGCTTGGAAAGACAGCTTCTTACCACAACTCAGATGAGAAGTCCAGAAGAAACACACACACATACACACACACACACACACAAACACACACACACACACACACACACACACACACACACTGTGATGTGTGCAACATCTCTCCAACGAGCCATGGGGTCCTCCTCAGTGTGTTTAGCAGGTGGGGAGTAGCTCCTAAGGGTACTTCACACTGTACCAGCATTAGACTTTGTTTACGACTGGTCAAACCTCAAGTTTCACTCATATTATTGATGTCTAACTCCACAGGCAAGAAGAATCTGAAACACACCACACAAATAAGTGAGCTGAACTTGAATGGTTAGTTTTTAAATAGCCAGAAATGAGACCCTTTTATTCCATGTTGCCTCTTCCCTTCCCCAGCTCTGTTGAGTCTTTTGACAAATAACACAGTCCCAGAAGCCAGACTGCCCCACAAGGCTGGGGACTGAAGTTCCCCATCTGTTTCTGCTCTTGGCATCTAGAAGTTTCTTCCATGTAGAAAAGAGAAAGGAGCTACAGTTTCTTCTTCTTAGTAAAACTTCTTTTGATTACAACTACTTTTTCTTATATAGCATGAGAGAAAAAATTATGCTTTTGCCTATATGTTGAAAATAGCAGACATCTTATAAAATATTAGGAGGGAAAAAATATTAGGAGGAATAGTTTCTATGACCAATATGAATCATAGTACAAATGACTGCAGTAATAGCTTAACACCTATTTTTGAATAGATGGATGGATGGTATGACAGGTTCAGTGATGTACGACCATGAAGGTGACCACAGTGACAGATACAAGTTCCAACTAGATGCCATCTTCTGGGGAAAAGAAACAAGGGATGATTTCTTTTACCTGAGAGCTTCCAAGCTGTGTGGTTTAGATCACTGGGCTAGTGAGATGGGCTCAGTAGTAAAAGTGCTGCCCAAGTAAATGACTTCTACAAATGCAGCATGGTGCACATATATCTACACACACACACACACACACACACACACACACACACACACACACACACATACACACACACACACTTTTTTTGAAAAAATATATGTATTTTAGATAATCTTTTTGAAGGAATCATTATTTATATATTGAGTCATTAAATAATCCTCAAGGACTTTGTTCTGGAAAGAATAGCTGGTGTTTACAGAACATGACATGCTCATGACAGTACTTTGTATTCAGTAATTTCATCCCTGCTGTAGACTCTGTCCCTGGCAGATTGAGAGTGCTGTAATGGTGGGATTAAGGAGCAGGCTCTGTGCCAGTGGTATATAGCCAGAGTTCTCAGTTAGCCATCAGGTTTCCATGGTGACCCAGTATCATGGGATCACCTTTACACATTATGTGGTAAGAAGTACATATGATTCAGAACATCAGAGAAGACAGTAGCCAGGTGCTGTGGGATGTTCTGTATGTCCTGTGGGAGCCGGTTCTTGGGTTCCTCGTGGCTTTATCCAGCAGGTCCGCATAGAGGATGATTAGGACCACGGGCCTGAGTGCAGGTGTCTGAGATGGTCTGCACATGGCTGTGCTGGGGGATGGTCTGTATGTCAAGTTGCTCTGATTGGTCAATAAATAAAACACTGATTGGCCCGTGGCTAGGCAGGAAGTATAGGCGGGACTAACAGAGAGGAGAAATAAAAGAACAGGAAGGCAGGAGTCACTGCCAGCCACCACCCTGACAAGCAGCATGAAAAGATGCCGGTAAGCCACAAGTCACATGGCAGGGTATAGATTTGTGGAAATGGATTAATTTAAGCTATAAGAACAGTTAGCAAGAAGCCTGCCACGTCCATACAGTTTGTAAGCAATATAAGTCTCTGTGTTTGCTTGGTTGGGTCTGAGCGGCTGTGGGACTGGCGGGTGACAAAGATTTGTCCTGATTGTGGGCAAGGCAAGAAAACTCTAGCTACAGCCAGGACTGGATTTGCTAAGCTTTTCCATTTCATCTTCCCAAGCACATTTATGGAAATGGTCTATGACTGATTAGATCATACAAACATGGTTGATTTATCTAAGTCAGCATCTTGACCAAAGATACCCAATATGTGTACAATTGCAATCCAATCATTCTAAAAAATAATGCAGTTAAACTATTCTGCTAATTATAAAAGATCTGAATTTGAACAACAAAACTAATCTTTCTTCTGGGCTATTCCTAATATGGATCACCTTAGTGGCCCTTGGACAACTGATGCAAGGCAGTTTTGAGCATCATTGTATAGCTTCCTTGAAACCCAAGGAATTTAACAAAAGTGTAAAAAGTAGGTTTATTTGTAGGCCCAACAACTATAGATTTCCAAGTCTTTGAAAAACCAATCACTATATATTTCCTCCGTTTCTCTGTTCTATACCTGGGATAAAGTATGTCAGATGTCCAAAAATGAATAAGAGTCCCCTCAAGAAACTGAGCTGTCTTAGCATGGTGATGTAAACCTTTAGTCCCTACTACTCAGGAAGTTGAAACAAAAGGATCATTGTTTCAAGGCCAGCACGGGTAATACAGAGAGATCTTATCATTCAGATGCATGTGTGCACATACATGCATGCTATGTGTGTGTTCATGTGTATATAACTATTTAGATAGTGAATAAGAAAGCCAATATATGTCAGGTGGTAGAGAGGGGGAAAGGGGGAGAGGGGAGAGAGGAGGTAAGGCTGTTTCAGTTGGTGATCATTTTAGGGGATGAAATATCAAGTAGAAACTTCAAAGGAGAAGGAGAAGAAGCTGAAGTAGAAATATTGCTTTCACGCCATTCATCCCAGCACTCAGGAGGCAGAGGCAAGCAGATCTCTGTGAGTTCGAGGCCAGGCTGGTTCACAGAGCAAGTTCCAGGACAACCAAGGCTCCAGAGAGAAACCCTGTCTCAAAGAAACAAACAAAAAGACAATCTATAATCACATGTACTATAATGTTAACGGTCTATATAGTTACTACTAAGTTCTAGCAATGTAGTTCATTCACTAAGTTTTACACTGATTACATATTTGTGATTGTGTCTTAGTTACTTTCCTATTACTATGACAAAATACTATGACCAAAGAAACTTACAAAAGAAAGCACTTAATTGGGCTTACAGTTTCAGAGGGTTAGAGTCCATGATGGTGGGTCCAAGGCCTGCTGGCAGGAACAGCTGAGAGCTCATGTCTTGATCCCTGAAAGTAGGAAGCAGAGAGTGAGGAATGCTGGGAATAGAGTCTTTTAAAGGCTGAAAGCCTGCCCCAGTGACACCTCCTCCAACAAGGCCACACCTCATAATCCTTCTCAAACAGTTCTGTGAATTGGAGACCAAATACTGCAGTGTGTGAGTCTATGAGGGCTATTCTCATTCAAACCATCACAGCTGTTAATTTTATATGTGAGTTAACGGGGCCGTGTGGTGGCCTGGTTCGTGTTCAGACAACCTGAGTGTCTCTGCGAGAGTGTTTTAGAATAAAATTAGCACTTAAATGATTACAATAAGTAAAGCACATGCCTTATCAATACATTCAGCTTGAATAAACCACCAAATTTAACCCTATGGATGTAGGGGACAACTCTTTCTGGCTGATGATCTTTATTTCAGTTTACTGTTGTGCACTGGGCACTCCACAAACAACGGAAATGTTTCTTCTAGTTCTGAAGTCTTCGAAGTCCAAAATCAAGGCATTGGGAGGTTGACTGCTCTGGGCCTGCTTCCTTACTCACAGATGGATATCTTCCTGCTGTGCGCTCAGATGCTGGAAGGGGCCAGTGAGCTCTCCAGGGTCTCTTTTAAAATGGCACCCATCAGTCACTAATTAATGTCCTGCCAAAGGCTCCACCTGCTCATATCATCACATTAAGGGCTAGGAATTCAACACACAGCATCTAGGTATGGATGGAAATATTGTACACATAGCCACCTTTGGACTAGAACATCAGCTTCCTCCTGTCTTTACAATATAACTGAGACATATGCTCTTCTACACACACACACACACATATATATATATAATATATAAAATACATAACATTATATAGAAACAGTTCATATATATATTATATATATATTGGTTCTGTTTCTCTGGATAACATTAATACAATATTGCAGTCATATGTTTGATAGATTGTGTTAAATAAAACATATTCTTATGCTTATATGATTCTTATAACTTTTCCTAATTCAAAAATTTACAAATAATATATGTGGTTCATACTACAATTGCATTGGACTGCACATATAAGTGTGTTATTTGTATTGTGTAGATTTTAGTAAACAACTTTGTGCTGAGGAAAAAGCCATCGTTTCCAGTGGGCAGTGATTTTGACAGTTGATATTGGTCTTTTACAACGTTCTGTGTGAGGAAATATCCAAAACAGAAGAGCAAAAAGCATGAGAAACATACAGAAGCCTTCAAGCATTTGCCATGTCTACAGAACAGCAGGAAACCAATGAGGAAGCAGGCAGCATGAAATGAGGCTGAGGAGGAGCATGGAGAACCACATGGGGAAGGTCTTGATGACCACCATAAGGAGCCTAAGTTTATCCTGGGGACTGAGGCCAACCACCAAGAGTGTTCAGGCTAGTGACTAGCATGGCTAGGTCTTGCTTATTCTGGGAGCAGAGAGAGGAGGATGGGGGGATAGGACCAGCAGCAGTGTGAGGAAGGAGACCGTGACAAGTGATGGTAAGAATGAAAGTTGGATCAATGATGGGGAGAGGAGACAAGGGTGAAGAGGATGGTAGACGACTTCCAAAGCATCATAGAACAGAGGGCTTGGATAGTGCTTACCCACAGTCAGAAGGGCAGATGTCCTTGCCCCATACTCCTGCTAGTACTTATTGTCCAGCTGGGGACATGCTTATCCAATGAGATAATAAAGTTCTTGAGAATCATTTGCAGATTCTCCTTTTAAACACAAGTCTTTTCAGGGCTTTCCCCATTCCTCCTTGGGTCCTCTAGGTCTGTAAGAGCAAGTGTTTGCCCCAGTGTTCCATTGGAGAACTTCCTTTCGGGGGGTGGGGGGGTCCTCCTTTTCTTCATGCTGTGCTAGGATTAATAAAGAGGAGTCTACAAGGCCGGGTCCTGGACAGGCATACATGGCTTCTATCCACTTTCATCTCCTACAAAGGCCATTGAAGTCTGTTCTGTTAGTCTTATCATGTTTACATAGCAGCTACTTAAGACTTCTGTCGTGTTTTCAATTTCCCTTGGGAGAAAAAAAAAATTGCCTCTCTCCCCAGGATTCACAAGGAAACAGGAGGACAGTTTAATTAGCAGTCTTCAGAAGCAAACAGTGAAGTGTTCTAAGGAAGGAGGAAGGGACAAAGCTGGCGGGAGAATTAGTGGATGCTAAAATAATAAAAATAAAAAGGTATACATAAAGCCATGGAAAAGAAATAAAGAGGGATAAAGAAAAAATTAAAATATTTACATCACTGTCACAGAAATGTACAGAGGGAGACAGCTACATACTTTACACACCCACTGGCCACAGCTGTAAAATTCACTTTTTTAAAATCAGACTGTATCTTCATTGTCAAGAATCTGAGTAATTGTTATTGACTGTGGATCTTCATAGCAGTCTCTGGAGTAAAACCTTCTGGGGAGTCATATGTAAAAAGGGGAAACTGAGTCATAGAGAAACACACACACTGATTTTTGACATCTCAATCTATGACTCGGGTAGTGAAAAAACATGATCTGCTCATAAGAAAAGTACAGCAGACTCCACTCTCAAGAGCATTCAGTATTTGTCTGAATATTAGTTACTTTTCTGTGGTCATGATAAAAACATGGCCAAGGAAGTCTACAGAACAAAGAGTACATTTGGGCTCACAGTTCCTGGTGGATGAGCATCCTCATGACAGGAAATCATGGTGGCAGGTAGCAGTCATGGTAGCAGGAAGAACAGAGAGTTCACAGTTCCAACCCTAAGTATGAAGCAGAGAGAGCTTCTTCAGAACCTCAGAGCCCACCCCCAATGACATACTTCCTAAACCTAATCAGTGTCATCAACTAGGGACCAAATATTCAAACATCCGAGCCCGTGGGGGGACTGTGGTGAGCTGACTAAGAATGGCCCCAACCAGCTCACAGATCTGAATGCCTGGTCATCAGAGAGTGGAATGCTTGAGAACGATGAGGAGGCGTGGCCTTGTAGGATGAAGTGTGTCACTGTGGGTAGGCTTTGAGGTTTCAAAAGCCCAAACTTGGTCTAGCGGTTCTCTCTTCCTGCAGCCTCTGGATCCAGACGTAGAGTTCTCAATTTCTCTAGCACCATGTCTGCCTGCATACTGCCATGCTTGCTCCCCACTATCATCACAATGCACTGAACCTCTAAAAAGGTAGGCAGTCACCAATGAAACGCTTTCTTTTACAAGAGTTGCTGCATCACGGTGTCTCTCCACCGCAATAGAACACTGGCCTAGACAGGGACATTCTCATTCAAACCACCGTATCTGCTGAGCAGCAGCATGTTCAAAAGACTAGGAAGGGAAGCTGGAGATGGCCTAGGCCACTCAGGGTAGGTTTGTTGTAGGCAACAGACATGGACTTTGACTCTCTGAAGTTAAAAGGAGAAAATGTTAAAACAACAGCCACATTTTAAAAAGCGAAAGCAGGGCTGGAGAAATGCCTTAGTGGTTAAGCTTGCTTGCTGTTCTTGCAGAGGTACTAAGTTCAGTTCCCAGCACCCACATCAGTGGCTCACAAGCTTACCTGTGACTACAGCTCCAGGGGTTCCAGCATCCTTTTCTGGCCTGCACAGATACTCACACACATATGAATGCATGCACACATGCCCACACACACACACAGATAAAATTACAAAATTCTTTAAAAGAACAAATTTTAAAGGAAAAGCAGAAGGCTCAAATGTGGGGGAGAAAAAAAAATGGTAGTCAGGGAAGCTGTAATGATCCAGCTAGCAGGAACCAAAGATAGCCCACGTGAGGCCCTGTTCTTAGGGTTTATCAAGTCAGCCACCATCTTCTAAATTGCTCCAAATGAGACCCACTTTTCCAGGAGTGAGAGCTTTTAGCCAGGGTAAAAGAAGGATCAGTCATTTATATCTTATTCAGGGAAGATGGGGTTTCTTGATTGGCAGTCATAAAGGAAGCTGAGTCCTGTGAAAGGAGAGGAGACACTGGGCAGGCAGAGTCAGATACCGTCTAAGATCCCATTCTCTTCTACTGCCCATGCTCTCTATCATCATCAGCCTCCTACCATGCTCTGGAGCCCAACCTTCCAGCCACTTTCTCCAGGAAGAGTCCTCTGGGCGCTCCAACCCTTAGGAACCATTGACTTCTAAATGCATAAAACACAAGAGTCATCCACGTTATCTGTCATTCAGCTAACAGTTTGGAGCCTTACCACATGCCCAGAATTCTTCTAAGGACCCTTCCATCTGGCAGTTCTGGCTTGCTTCTCACTGATGTCCTAGGTATAATCTATTCATATTTGGAAACTATGACTTGACAGCATTTATTATAAAAGTCACTTTTCCAAAATATGGCTCTATGGGTCGGTGTCAGTTTGGGACCAGAGGCTACAAATTAGACAACGGTTCTAAATATTTTTAACAACCTATATAACGTGACTACCAATAAAGTCAAATTATTTGGAAACATTTGAAAGACTCCAATTCTAATCTTAAGTGACAGCAAGCAAATATGCTTAATTTGCACTGAGATTACTGTCAATCTCCCGCTCAATTAACATGTATCTATTGAGTGTCCTCACGTGCAGAGTAGAATGCCAAGAGCTGCTCTGCATACATTTGTTGGGACTAACAAGAGAACTTTACAGAAGTATTTTGCACTGTGCCTACTAAATGCATATTGTACATTCGCACACATATGGGCAGATCCATATGGATTAGCTGGTTATCCTTAAGAAGACGTGAAATTGGTGGGGGATATGGGAGATACATTGGGGGATGGGAAAAGCTGGAGGGAGGGAGTGAAGGGTGAATATGATCAAGATACATTGTACCCACGCATGAAATTTTCAAAAATATGAAATAATAAAATGATTTATAAAAATGGTGTGTTTTCAAAAAAAATCAGATCTTTGAGTAGTATCCTCCTACTCATGATGTCACCGACCGAGCTCATGATATCAAATGGCATCAGCCGGGCTGGGATCCTTCCTCCAGAACTCTTCATCCAACCTCACACATGACACAAGTAGAAACGGGGCTCGGTTCTGTTGTATGTTGTCCAGAAATGCATTCCTTCTCCAAAACCCACCCTCTGGATCCTTTGTCCCTTCCTGACTTCAGCATCGCGTTGTCTAGTTTTTTCCCAGTAGTGAGTTGGGCAAACATGTTTGAATGTTTACAGAAACCTTATACTTACTCTATTTCATTTTATGTTTAAATGGACCTCAATGTCCAGTAAGAGGTCAGAAGAGGAGATGGAACCTTCCAAGGCCACAGGGAGAGTGTGGGAACTGGGATTCCGATTCTGACTCTTCCGGTTGCAAACCTAACATCCTTCATTTTCAGGGAAGTTGCTGGAGGTTTCTACAGGAAGGTCAGACTGAATGAAGGATGTTTCCCAATGCCTTCTTTCTTCTGACTCAGGTCTGAGCCCCAAGGAAACTAGGTAGTCTCGGGGCTTACAGTCAGAGGAGAACAGCCTGGAGCCCAGAATCTTCATTAGTCACTGGCGTCTGAGAATTTCTGCACAGCTGCTCAGGGGAGGGAAGCTCAATCACCAGGAAGCAATTTCTTCTTTGCAGAAGAAACTCTATCAGGGCTGACTGTGATTCTCTCTGTCCCGTAAGCAAAGAGGAAGCTATTCCTGGAAGGCAAATGAAGAGTTGGAGGAGACAGCCCAAGTTAACCCCACAAGTTCATCCAAACACATCGACTGGCCTCTGTCTCTGTTTTCTTCTTCATTATCAAGTTCTGCTCACTTTCAACGAAATGGAGTCATTTTTATTCTTTGTTAATTATCTCCCTGAATCAAGAAACATGTACTATATTTTAGTACATACTCATATATGTACTAAAATACTTAGATTTATGTGTATCACCCATCTATAAATCTAATGGGAAGAGTTCTTCTAGCCTTTGTAAAGACACTAGATTCTTGGCAGGCCAGAGACAGGGGGGTCAGCAGTTAAGAGCACTGGCTGCTCTTCCATAGAACTTGGGTTCCTAGCACCTACCTGGTAGCTAACAACCACCGGTAACTCTGCTTTTAGAGGGATCTGATGCCTTCTTCTGGCCTCTGAGGGCACCAAACATGCATGTGGTACACAGACATACATGCAGGCAACACACCCATACCTATAAAATAAAAAATAATTTTAAAACTTTTAAAATAAATTATTTTTTAAATTAAAGACATTAGATTATCAAAGTGGGAAATAAATGTGAACATACCCAACACTATTAGAGACACTTATGAGCATTCAGCAAATGCTTTCCCACCTTGAATCCATCAAATTTTCCTCCTGAGTGCCCCATAACCTTTTTACAACAGGTAGCACCATAAACTTTTCTCTTAAACCAAGCATGATACTAAATATACCCAGGATGCACTGCTCTCTAAAGTCTTATTCCCCGCCGAAGAATATCTGACATGACAGCATACAATTAAACAGAGTCAAAATGATCACTCTGAAGAAACACAACTGCACATTTCTCCTTGGGAAGGGTTTTTAAAAAAAAAGACGCCGTGAGGACTGTCCAGACACTGTGACTGCTTAACCTTTCCTCTGGGATGCGTTCTCTCCAAGAGCAACAAGAAACAAATCAGCCACTGTGCGTATTTCACCCGTAGAAACAGGGACAAGCTTGCCGTCCCTAAGAGAAAGGACAGCTGGACGATGTGTCCCTGTTCACATTTCTCTGCCCCTAGCCATCCCTCTGGAGCAAATGCAACAGAGTTAAGATGAAGTCCGGGTTTTGTTTTGTTTTTTTCCACACCCAAAATATCTTTATTTGCACCCTGGAAATGCTGGCATCATATGCTTTATGAATCCCGCCCCCCCCCTCCCCGGCCCCCAACAAGTCCCAATTAAATGTAGTTGACAAGACTGTCTCATCTCTAATAATGGTAGGCTCAGGCCTGTCAGAATTGTCCGTTGCTATAGTTACCTCTAAGGAATGACAAGGACTGTAGCTGCTAAAATTAAAGTGTCACAGACAGAGAAGGACTGCATATTACTTTGTAAATGATCCCACCTGCCACTGCAGCTGATTATTAGGCTGTGGTACTCCAGCAGGCCAAGCTAATAGAGAAATGGCCAATGAGAGAAGAGTCTCTCTGTGTTCCCTCTCCTGGATCCTAATGGACTGGGGAAAAAAATGATCGCTTGATAACTCTAAAAAAGCAAGTTTTCAACCTTCACTGTTTTCAAAGTTTGGGAACACAATATCACAATAATCTGGATGACTTTAGACACCACAGCATCTGCTGTGGCCACCAGAAAAAGGGGAGCATGGTTAATAAGAGAGGGCTCAAACACCCTAACTGTCATGCTAGAAATCTCATCCAATGACTAATGGAAACAGATGCAGAGATCCACGGCCAGGCCCCAGGTGGAGCTCTGGGAGTCCAATCTGCGAGAAAGAGGAGGGATTGTATGAGTGAGAATTGTTGAGACCAAGATTGGAAAAAGCACAGGGACAAATAGCCAAACTAGTGGAAACACATGAACTGTGAACCAATAAATAGCTGAGGAGCCCCCAACTGGATCAGGCCCTCTGGATAAGTGAGACAATTGATTGGCTTAAACTGTTTGGGAGGCACCCAGGCAGTGGGACCACGATCTGTCCTCAGTGCATGAGCTGGTTGTTTGGAACCTGGGGCCTATGCAGGGACACTTGGCTCAGCCTGGGAGGAGGGGACTGGACCTGCCTAGACTGAATCTACCAGGCTGAGCTGAATCCCCATGGAAGTCCTTGCCCTGGAGGAGACAGGAATGGGGGGTGGGCTGGGGGGAGGGCGGAGGAGGGGCAGGAGGAGGGAGGATAAGGGAATCTGTGGTTGATATGTAAAATTAAATCAAATTATAAAATTTAAAAAAAAATTCTAAAAAAAATAAATAAGTGAGGGCTCATGTATCTGCAATAGCATCAAGATTGCCCCCTCTCCCTTATATGACCAATTTTACTTCAAAATATTTACGAAGGGAATACATCTAAATAGTGGGATTTACTATCAAAGTACATTTTTACTATTCTAAAGGAACTGGCTCACCAACCTCCCTCCTTAAGCTGTTTATACATGCTGGTGTAGCCAAATTTAAAGATTCTTTACTGTATTGAGTGAGCCTGTGTCCTCATCTATCAAGGTAGGACTCATCTGCATAAGACTGACCAGAGTTACTTAGTTGGCCATTTGCATCTTGTTGGAGGCTCTTGCCAAGAAACGAGGAACAAGAGGCAGCCCTCTCGGGAAAAATAATGCTAACGTTATGAGTTAGCAGTGAGAGGGGTTAAAGTCTTGATGATAAGAGGAATATAATTCTCCCAGTCGATGTGTCGTAAGTGTCTATCAATTTTTCGAATATATTCCATTTACCAGACATGGCAAGGAGAGTTAGCCTGGGAAGGAGCAGGACTCTGCTTGAACCAGCTGTGCCCACGGCCCAGAAGCAGTTAGAGCATGGCGGCCTCCTCTCCCCACTGTGAGATAGAGCACAGCCCACTCACCTGATGTCCACCGCGCTTTACCATGCACTGGATAGCAAGGAGAGTCCCTGCCTAGCCTGGGTTACACCTCCATAGAAAGACAGGAGGAAGAAGAAAACCCCATACTAAATCTCAGCTACAAGAAAACCATGAGGAAAAGTATAAAATGTGTGTCTTACAGTTTCCAGTTTCTCCAGAGACTTTCTCTCCTTTCTCTCTCACTATACGAAAACCTGGGGAAAGCGAAAGCTATCGACAGACGTGAAATAGCCAAATTGTGAATTTTCAGGTAAAAGATTTTTTTTCCCCTTTTCATGAATCTTTCTTTTCTCTCCCAATATCATACCCATCATTAGTGCCTAAATTACTTTTATTATTTTCCCCCTCTGGTTATCTCAATTTATCTCTTTCTCTCTCACCTCCTAGATTATCTCTTCTAGCTGTCCTTTGCACCATGAGCATTCTTTACTGCTTGAAGACATGAAGGCTGTTATTCCAGGATGGTCTGATATGTGAAAACAAAATAGCCTTTGCCCTTCGAGGATCAAGCAAATGATATTTTTTACTATGTTTATTTATTTGTTTGTTTGTTTGTTGTATGTGTATGCATATACATTGTGCTATAACATGCATACAGAGGTCAGAGGACAGCTTGCAGGAGCCAGTTCTCTCCTACCATGTGGGTCCCAGGAATAGAACTCAAGTCATCAGTCTTGGTGGCACATGCCTTACCTGCTGAGCTATCTCCCTAGCCACGATATGTTTTATGGGTGTGTTTTTCTCCTCTTCCACCCCATGTGTGTGCTGAAACTCTCTACCAAATTTTACTTTAGATAAACCAGTCTAGACAACAATCTTATATTTTGCCTTCAGTGTGTACAACATAGCTACATGCATATACGTTCAGTAAATATTTGTTAAGTAAATAAATGCTGGTTAATTTTTACTTTTAGTAATTAAAAGTACAAGTGCTGAAGGTTCTGGGAGCAGGACTTTTAATTTCAGATTCTTCCATTAGTCTTCAACTGGGACGAACACCTTAGAATCACAATTTTTTTTTCTGATCAAAATAAATAACAAAAGATCGTTGCTGCAGTTCAGATGGAGTAAGAGTTCTTCCCCCTGCCTTGCTCTCATGAACGGAAGTGGGACAGAAAGAACGCATGAAGCTCCTTTCTGAAGAAGCTGGAAAACAGAGATTGGAGGGGACAGAGAATTCAAAATGTCACTGAATTGGCAATAAGTATCACATTTTTCCTTGAGTTTCTCCAAGCCCAAACATGCACACCCAGGGTGTTAACAAGCACTCTGAGCACCAGGCAGCTCCTGGCACTCTGTAGGAAGGGAACCCCCACTCTCTGGCCAGAGGAATGTGGTCCCCAGAGGGACGGAAAAGTGTGTCTCACTCGCTCTTTCCCTCTCCATCCTTTAACCATCTGGCGACTGACAAACAGACAATAATGAGGAATGAGTGAGCGGACCTCAAGAGGAGAAAGGATCTTCAGTAGCAGAAATCACAGACAGCAAGAGCTCAAGGAAGTCATATTCCAAAGTCATGGAGGAGAGTAGAGCTCCTAGGAGACTGTCTGCCTAGCAAAGGTGTGGCTCTGGGTTAGATTCTCAACATACACAGCCAAAAAAGGAAGTGTACACATCTTCAAACCGTGATACAAGGAGCTGGCAGATCCCACCTAAGCAAGTTGATTAATAGAAAAAAATAAATAAGGAACATTACCTATGAGAGACCCAAAGTCCTATATTATTCAAAGTGTTCCAAGATAAAAGTCTTACAAGTCCTCCAGCACTACAGAGAAAGAATAAGACAAAGTCTCAAAAGGGATAATGAAAGGAAGCAAGTTATCAGTCCCCAAATGACACAGATAATGGGCCATTTATCACAGACTTTATAGTGGCTATAAAAGTATGTTCTACGAAGTGGGACAACTGCTCTTATCGTAGATGGAAAAATAGAAAGCCCCAATAGAGAAATAGAAGATATAAAACAGAACCAAGAGCCGGGCGGTGGTGGCGCACGCCTTTAGTCCCAGCACTCGGGAGGCAGAGGCAGGCGGATCTCTGTGAGTTCGAGGCCAGTCTGGTCTCCAAAGCGAGTTCCAGGAAAGGCGCAAAGCTACACAGAGAAACCCTGTCTCAA